TGTCTTCTCCATGGGAAGGCCTACATGACATAGTGGATCGTCTCTCAGACGACGAGGTAAACCAAAAGTGGCACATGCCAACAGGCTTTGGCGTTATCACGGTCCGGGACGTTTCAGTTGGAATGAAGTGAACAACAGAACAAATGACGCTGCTGAAGACGTGTCACCTGAAAAAGCCAATGTTGAAGAAGAAACTCTACTCAGTTTTGAGAAGGGAAACGGTGAAGCTCTTGATGAAGTTACTACCACTGATGTGACTGTTACTGACGATAGGACATTTCCTGATGAAGCAGATGAACCCCACGTGAAGCAGAAGCCAACGAGACGGAGACCAGTACGGAAGAAGATACGTCCCGTAAAATTAAGAGACTTTGTTGAATTGTAATTTTGTGTTTGTAATTCTGTACATTTAATTAAGTTTTTGTTAATTGTTATTGGTTTAATGTAAGTGGCTATTGTTCGGGACGAACAATATTAAGGAAGGGGCAGTGTTACGACATCGAGGTCACGTGACTAATATCACGCCACGTCATTCTCGAACTTTCACGTCTTTTCCTTAAATCTCATGATCTTTCTAGATATAGTGTAGTATTGTATATATAAAACCAGCCATGAAGCGACGGGGAGGTAATGAGTAATTGAATGTATGCAGATATAATATTGTTGGCCACGTGAGACGTGAGTTATAGCGTAGTTATAGAGCGACTGTTGAAATTAAGTGTATCGTAAAGTTGTATTCGGAAAGAATAAACCAGTTTTATTTAAGAAAGGATTTGTGTCGCTAAAGTTTTGTTGAAAGGAACTTACGGAAAATTAACTAACAAACAGAGACGTAACAATACTTTTTTAACATGGATGAAAACCAAATGTGAGAAGATTTTATGTTTTTACAGAGCTATTCAACTATGGACGAGGCTTTACAGGTGTGCTTCTATCACAGATATGTGATGCAGGTGTCAATATAAACAAAATGAGAGACCAGGGATATGACAGTGCCCTCATGTCTGGGGTATAAATATAGTGGAACTCAAGCACGAGTGAGAAAAATCTTTCTATGAGCAGTTTATACATACTTCAAAGCTCATTACCTCAACTTTGCTATCATTCATGTGCCAGAAAAGCCATATGCATGAAACTTGATGAAAACCATGCAAAAGATCGGGTTGGTTTTGAATTATTCAGCAAAACGTCTGTTAAATTTTTAGAAAAATCTGAACAACTATCTTGTCAGCCATGAAGAAATGGAAAAATGCAGTCTTTGTACAAGATCATATGAGCAACATAGGCAGATGCTTTAAATACCTTTCTGTCTGCTTTCAGAATAGATCTTTCCAGTGATCATGGAGATACAAAAGCCTATCAACTTTCCATTGTGACACTAGTAAATGTTTCTGCCATGAAAATCAATACAAAACAAGTGAAAAATATTTATCAGGATTTTGAAAAAACTTTTTATGTTATAAATATTTGAGCTATCAACAAATTGTTTTCTCCCAACAAAATTAAAAAAAAAGCCAGTGATCAAAATGTAAGTTTAACAATACTTTATGTAGCCTGTGTAATAAATTCTCAATAGATTATATATGCAAAAAAAGTCACCAGAATGTGCCATTCTAGATTTAAAAACTCTTCCACTCACTATGCCCCTGACAACTTTAAGGTTTCTCTGCATGTTGATTTAGATAACTCTTTGTTCTAAGTTCTTTTCCACACACTACAACACTGTATCATTTCCCCCAATGTAAATCTTTTCATGTTTCTTTAGTTGAAGTTTTGTTCCAAACGTTTTTACACAAACACCACAACTGTATGGTTTTTCCCCAGTGTGTGTCCTCTTATGTTGTTTTAAGTTTGCCTTTGTTACAAAATCTTTACCACACCATATACAACCGTATGGTTTTTTCTCCAGTGTGTAATGTCTCGTGTCTTTTTAGGTTACCCATTGCTCCAAATTCTTTGCCACATACTTCACAAATGTACGGTTTCTCCCCATTGTGTACTCTCTCATGTCTTTTTAGGCTACCCATTGCTCCAAATTCTTTGCCACACACTTCACAAATGTTCGGTTTCTCCCCAGTGTGTACTCTCTGGTGTCTTTTCAGTTCAGTACTTGTTATAAATTCTTTGCCACATGCTACACAAATGTACGGTTTCCCCCCAGTGTGTATCCTTTCATGATATTTCAGTTCACCACTTGTTCTAAATTTTTTGCCACATATTATACAACTGTATGGCTTTTCTCCAGTGTGTATCCTCATATGTATATTTACTGTAGAGCTATACTTAAATCTTTTGCCACACACTAGGCAATTGTATGGTTTCTCCCCAATGTGTACTCTCTCATGCATTTTTATGTCGTAGTTTGATATAATTTTTTTGCCACACGCTACACAACTGTATGGTTTCTCCCCAGTGTGTATCTTCTCATGATGTTTTAGTTTCCATTTTGTTACGAAATGTTTTCCACAAACTGCACAACTGTGTAATCTCTCTCCAGTATGAGTTATCTGGTGTATTTTCATTTCACTATTTGTTTGAAGTTGTATTCCACAATTTGCACAACCATATGGCTTCTTCCCAGTGTGTATTCTATGATGTATTTTTAACCTGCTATTTGTTTCGTATTGTTTTCCACAATGTTCACAACTGTACTGTTTATCACCATTCTGAGGTACGTCAGATTGTGTTAGGTCATTTCTGTTTAAACTTGTTTTTCCACTTACAGCACTGTTTGGTTTTGAGGATTTGACTACTTCTGGAAATGGATCTTCCTGTCTTAAAACATGATGACAAGGAAAGTGACTTCCACAAGAGATGTCCACACTGGTCTTTATATCTAAGATCAAGATATATGATATAACAAGCACAGATAAGAATAAATACATCACATGTTACTTTATTTGATAAACTTCTAAGTACATGGATACAGTCTAATACAACTGAAACAAGCATATGGATTTTTAAACTGAAAAATAATTATATATTTTAAACAAGAAATGAAATGATGACAGTTAACATTCTTTTTACCTCATATATATTATGATAGATATTCACCTCTCCACACTAAAAATGGCTAGCACCTCAGTGATGAACCCAAAAATGTTTGTGAATGTGTATCGTTTATTAAAGGAACTCATATCTTTACACATAATAACATACTTCAAACTTCACATTATGCAATAAGCATAAGACTGTACCACCATAACTATAAAGGCAATGCATCCTCTTTATCCTGTAATCCCCTTGAGCACATTGTACACACCAAAGCTCATTCTTGATGAAGCAAAAGAGACATAATGTAAGTGGTGAAGAAGGATGAGTGGTTTTGTGGAGAAGTGACTTTGTATGTGAAATACATTTTCAGGTAACAAAATTGTTAAGCTCAAATCATGCTATTCACCTCTCCAAAAAATTATAACTCAAGTCTCACATTGAGGTGACAGTGAAGGAATTGGTGTGATAAAAAAATAAAAAATATATCTTTTATGAGAATATAGCAGCAGAAAAGGAAACCATGTAGATTTTGTCTCCAGCTAAGGAGGTGTACCTGATGTGGGCAGCATTCAGTGAAAGACCTCATCCTTCTCAACGAAGAAATATTAGTGGTTGTTCAAAAAGGTTCTGTCAAAGTAACGTTCTTCTTTTTCCTAAAGTGTCTCAAAGGTATGTGTATTGTCAAAGCTGCTCAAATGTCCTTTATATTCCAGGAGTTGGCAGACTAAAAAAGTGAAGTTTAGCTTGGTCACACCCCAAGCCTGAACAGCATAGAAGAAATAAATACTTAAAATAATATACAGGTTAATGGAAGAATCTTCTCCCGAAGATAAACTCACCAGCTGCTAACCACGACCAGGAATTGTCTGGTTCTTAACAATGGGATCACTTGTACTACTCTTGGCCTACTTATTATTAACATGTGAATCAGTTCTGTCTCATGCCAGAGAGATTACACCACCCATATTAATCCCACCAGACATTTTGTACTAGGGAAGTGAGTGTTCTTCTGCTTTGCTAGATGAAATTGAGAGAGAGCAATTTACACAGAGGAGAATAGTGGAGAGGTATGTGGATTAAACAGAAATTGTGTCATCTCCATAATATGTTTCTCACTAATGGTAACCTTGAAATGATAATGAGGACAGCAAGGCTGTCTTGTGTGGTTGTTTAAGCACTTCCTTATTTTGGGTGTGTTTTTGATAAAGCTTGGAAAGTATTAAAATGCTAAAGAAGTCTACAAAAATTCCCAACTCAACAGTAAGTACTGAGTAGGGGCAAATCAGCTTAACTCTTTCTGCTATCTCCTACTCACCTTTAGGATAGAACCAGCACCTATGTAGTTTCCATTATTTCTGTTTTATGTGTGGTTTGCATTTTAGGTGAAGCTATACTAAAAAATACGTGTCAACAATTCACCTTGTGAGAGCCTCTGATGAGTTCATAATGTGATGTAACTAATGTGACACAAAGGTATGTGGGGGTCCTCCATATGCAGAACTTTATCCAGGGGATATTAAAAGCCAGTGGCAACAGAAACCATGAGACAAATTTAATCAGAGGTGAAAATGTCATTTCCCATGGAGGAAAAGGCAAGCTTAATTAATTCGGTCAACGTAGAAAGAGATAAAGCTTGAGAAGTTTAGGGATACTAAAGCAAGAAAAAACAATTTTGATTGCCTCTACAAGGAACTCTAAGAGCAAGATAAGATTGTATTGCTTGCACAGGGCACAGGAGATGATTGGGATCTGAATGATCATAAAAAACATATAGAAGAGATGGTGATTAGAGAAAATATTTTATCAGTCTCCTGGACAGCCCATGTCTTGGAAACTAAGGATGGGTGTGGAATAAAATCAACATGTCCTTTTCTGGAAGACATTTGAGGAAAAACATCATAGCAACATCTTCTATAAGAAAAAAGGAGAAGAAAATATGTTTTAAGAGAAGAAAATATGTTTACAGAAAACAATTGTCCAAAAATTTGAAAGGCGGCCTTTTGAGAGCCCTGACAACTAAACATAAATTCTAGTACAGTTTATTTGTTTGTTTTGAATTTCGTGCAAAGCTACACGAGGGCTATCTGCACTAGCCATCCCTAATTTTGCAGTGTAAGACTAGTGGGAAAGCAGCTAGTCATCACCACCCACCACAAACTCTTGGGCTACTCTTTTACCAACGAATAGTGAGATTGACCATCACATTTAAGAACTTATTTCTAAATAGCAATAGTCTATATACATGTATATA